ATTGCTTTTTTGCTTATTTCACAATGTTCTTATGAAAGGTATTGAAATATGTTTGGACAATCCTTGTCGATAATTCCTCCTTCACCTTATTGCCTTTCTGCAGGTGCCTCAGTGAAAGCAGAGCCTGGGATTGAGCCAGAGGCAACAGTGAAGGAGGAGGACAAAGAAGAGAAGAAAGAGAAGGAGGAAAAGAAAGAAAAGGACACTATAAAGAAAGAGGAGAAAGACAGAGAACGAGAGAAGGAGAGAGAGAGGCTGAGCCGCATCAGTGGGAGCAGCAGCACTGTGATAAAGGAAGAGAAGGAGAAAGCAGGAAGTAGCAGTCAGCCTGAGGAGTTAGCAGGGGAGCGCCTGTCTATGGTCGGAGGGTCGAAGAGGAAGGAGATGGAGCAGCTGAAGATTGTCCGAGCAGAACTCAAGTACGTCGTATGAGTGGCCATTATTATGCTCATTTTTTTAACCAGATAGAGGAGGACAAAGTGCTTCGCCTGGTGGTTAGTGAGACGGTCACATTTTGGAAGACTTGTTTGCATCAATAGCAGGGAAACAAAACACATCATCACTGAAACAACTTAGTTGTTTGGGGCATGTTTTTCTTGCTCCTACTCTATTTTAAGATTCTTTGACTCTGTTGTTTTGTGTCCCTGGATGGTGGGTTTGATGATTTTGAATGATGGTGATAGTTTGTTAAAAACACTTACTGTGATTGTGCAGGAAAGCCCAGGAATCCCAGAGGGAGATGAAGCTGCTGTTGGACATGTACCGCTCAGCACCAAAGGAGCAGAGAGACAAAGTCCAGCTCATGGCTGCAGAGAAGAAGGCCAAGTCTGAGGTGATCCACCTATAAAGACAGTCACCTAAACATAAACATTTTGTTTGCACAGGAGGCATTTTAGTTTTTTTTGGTGGCTCTGTTCATTTCAGTAAGACATTTACAATATGATCTGTGGGTATTTATTTGTATTTCACATATGGATCTATTCTTTTTATCTGAGCAACATATGGCAAGATACAGTAATTAAGGATTATGATAATGTACTGACTCCAGGGAGAGGAGCTGCGGCAGAGGCTGAGGGAGCTGGAGGAGAGGGAGAGGAGGGAGGGCAAGAAAATGGCTGATGAAGAGGCTCTGAGGAAGATCCGCTCTGTGGAGGAGCAGATCGACATCCTCAACAAGAAGCTCTCCTTAGCCAAACAGGTGCGTGGGCTGGTCGTTTTGTTTTGTATGCACAAACCCTCTGCATGGTTCTGCCTCCTGTTTTCAAACGCTCTGCTGCTTCTGTGCTCCCTCTGCAGGAGGAGGACGCTCTGTTGAGTGAGATGGACGTGACGGGCCAGGCCTTCGAAGACATGCAGGAACAGAACATCCGCTTGATGCAGCAGCTCAGAGAAAAAGATGACGCCAACTTCAAGCTAATGAGTGAGCGGATCAAGTCCAACCAGATCCACAAGCTGCTGAAAGAGGAGAAGGAGGAGCTGGCCGACCAACTGCTCACTTTAAAAACTCAGGTGAGGCATGAGGCAGCGACAGGGACTTGTACACTGCTGTTGTGACATACACACTGTGTAGTTGCAGTGATTGGTACATGCAGCCATTTCTTACTTTCTTTAAATGACTTTGGATTATATTTATTAACAACAACAACAACAACAAAAAAAAAATCAGCTATTGTATTTTCTACTAGATACCTCTCAGTGCTAATTACAGTTTCTTTTCCTTTTAATTTGTTGTACATTTTAAAAGGTGAATGAAAGATTGCATGCTGTAGTGAATATTCTACACATACAAGTTGCACTAAACAATTTATTGTAGGACTGCTCTGCTCAGTTTGCTGTTTTTCACTCCTTTTTTTTAACCATCCACATTTAACGTTCTTCATCTATCTTTAATGTTTTTAAATGCATTTTAATGCATTTTTAAATGCGTTTTTTAAATGTTTGTCCTTATTTTTTGGGACTGTCTGTTTGTCAGGTGGATGCACAGCTGCAGGTGGTGAGGAAGCTTGAGGAGAAGGAGCGCCTCCTGCAGGGCACCATCAGCACTGCTGAGAGAGAGCTGGCACTTCGAACACAAGCTTTGGACATGAACAAGCGCAAGGTAACACCTAGTCCGGTAGCGGTGTGCCAGAGCTGCAGAGTAAGGCGTGATGCTACAAAATAAAGTAACTGTGATGACTTTTGACCCCCAAACACACATTGACAGGCTGTATGTACATAAAATGATTGCACAGTATGAGAAAACGTGCCACTGGTGTTAAGGATGAGCAGAGACATCTGTGTGTTGTTCTTCAGGCTCAGGAGTCTGCG